GGCTGATAACGCTTACCTCGACCTTGATAATTCCGCATATCACAAAAACCTCATCCAATAATTGTTCATTGTCTGGTATTTGTACACTGAATAGTTATGGGGTGCCATGGCTGCCAGTTCTGTTGTCTTTAAAACGACTGCTAATTCTAAACTGCAGTGATTCAAAACATTGTCCACACATGTTCTGGAGATTATGAGTAATATTTTAACTTTGGTACACACTCATATTTTGGAACAATCACCAAGGACGCTGACTGTAAATGTATCAAGATCTGTAATTATATAAAATATAAATCTTACCTGCGATTTGCCTGCCTGCGAAAAGGTTATTCCATTTGGAACGTTTTCCGTGGTTGTGGACCTACGTTCCACATCGAATGCATCCTGCCCAACATCAGCGATTGCCCAGTTTGTGAAGCAACAACGTTGGCAAATGTTGAAGCTCTTGGAAGGTCTTCGAATATAGCAAATTAACGCTGATTGCCCCGGTGACTTGCTTTGAAGAGGACGAAAGCGACCAAGAAAGTGAGGCAGCCGCTGACGATTGACGGCGAACCAGAAGACGAACAGAACGAAACCCTCGTGAACAGTTTATTAGCAAAAATATTAAGCCCTTCGCGAAGGTCTGTCAGACAATCGCCATTTTGCCAACCGGATATGTACTTTTAATGTACAGTAATGAGTCATGCGATTTGTACCTGTCAGTCGTGGATCGTTGTGACGCATTTCCGATGCGAAATGAGATCGATGAGATCAGATAGGTAATATTTAAAAACATGTCAGCTGTGGTGTGGGGAAAATAAGTTTAAACTGCCAAATCTACCAATTTTTTATGTGTGTGTAAAGATTGTGCAAGTGAGAGTCTGCTATTTTACGCGCGTCGAAACACTGTTATTCAAACATAAATATTTCGCGTTCTAGATCGAATTTAAAAAATCCCCCCGAAGAAATTAAAGAAGAAAGCATGCTTTATCAGAATTTGTCAGTTTTGGCGAAAAAAGTTTAATATCGAATGTCACCGAGGGCGTAGAACAAGGTGTTATTTTCTCACTCCTTTTGTTTACATGTTTCGAATTTCAGGCATTCTGATTGGTCAATAACGCAAAATGTAAACAAACGCGCTGATTGGCTAACATTATTTGCCCTTGTTACTCGGGTGCATGTCCGTAACTGTCAAAGAATTCTCCTTTCTCTTCCGATGGAAAGTAGAAGGCGACCCAATGGGTTCCAGGGCCACTGCTCGTATCAGTGTTCGCTACGAATCCGCACGGATATCCGTCGATCGTCTGAGGTAGCTTGTCGCTAGGGAACACACCACAAAACTTCTTGCTTGTTACGGGATCTTGTTCCAAGGCATGGGTTATCTGGGCAGTATTCATCCGGAGTAATCGTAGACAACGTTTCTTTCGGAATCGATGTGCACGGTATTCTCGAACTCTCCGTAGCATACGAGACTCACAGCGTTTGCAAGCGCTGCGGAGAACTGGATATCAATGGCTAGATTTCCTTTCTGCACCACGTTAAAATGAGGAGAGGCTCCACACATGTCTGGTGTTAAATCAAAGGCGTACATGGTGTAACCTTCTGGAAATTCTTCTCGGGATATATCGTTTCCTGTGTTGTAGTACATTTTCCCCGTACCAGAAAACAGGGTGCTGAATGCTTCGATGTATTTAGGTGCTGCACCATAGGAAAGCTGCAAGGGTTTAAATAGCATTTCTTCTCCGTTCACAGTTATTCCAAGGGAAGACACGTTGAAATGTTGAAAATTGTAGGGATTCTTTTTCAAAGCACCATTGAACGCTTCGCTTTCGACCAATCCGAAGACAATTGTTTTCGGCACCAGTCCACTGAAAAGGTTATCTTTCCTCAGGGAGGGATTCCCTGTGGGGACTATGAAACTCTTGCATTCGACGCGACGAATAGGATAGATGGCCGGTCCTTTTTTCAACGCGTTTTCGTGGGCCACGGAAATGCTAGGATTGACTTTCACTTTACGTATCTTGAGATAAGCATCGGTGAGTTTCACGCGGTAATCGGCATCGTCCTCGGAGGCCATCAAACAGAACTCGTCGCTGCTTCGATTCAAAATAATTTTCAGATCTACGTAACTCAACAGGAGACGTTCGGACATAAATATGTCGCTGAATATAGGTCCTGTCATTTCAACAGTTCCACTTGCTTTGCTGAAAACGTATCTTGCTCTGAGACCAGCGTTGCCATTACCACCTGCCACCGTAGGATCTGCGACATCCATTTTTCCTGCAGTGTCTTTGTAATACAAAGCAGCAGTGAGCTGTGAATCTTTTGCGGAGGGGCCATAATTCAAGAGGGTTTCCAAATAAGCACGGTACGCATAAGTTCCGGTAGCCTGTGTGACTTGCTTCCCTTTCAAAAAGACATCCACTTGTTTGAACAGGCTATGGAGGAAATTGTTCACCACTCCAACCTTAAACAGATTAGAAGGAAATTAATATTTGGAAACGCCGTATTCAATATGAAAAATACCATACCTTTTCGGCTGCTCCGAGATTCGTACCATCGGGTTTTGTCACTTTCGCTCTCACCACAAGAATCGTTCTAGCAAGGCCCACATAATCTTCAGTGCCTGGAGACAGGAACGTAATGACACCACCATCGGCTACACTGGAAACGGGTTGATGATCTACCCAATGTCCTTTTTCTAAACTGATTTGTGTTGGGGGCACAGAGAATAGATCGAGTTCGCTTTTTGTGCATTCTTGCGATTTGGAATGTACGAGATTCATGATCTTAACCAAATATGTCTTGAGCTGTTTTCCGTCTCTTGGTCTGTCTACGTCTGGATGTAGATGCCGATGCCTTTCTCTTTTTAACTGTTTTCCGTTTCTTGCTCTGACTGCGCCTGACTGTAGACGTCCTTCTCTTTTTAGCTGTTCGCTTTACACTTCTTGAACGCTTTACACTTCTTGAGCGCTTCCGTTTTCCTCTCCCCGTTTGACTCCTTAGTTTATTGATGGCTTTTCTTTTTGCAACATTGGCAGCCTCTACAGTTCGTGCCTTTGCTGCTTCCTTTACGTTTCTACCAGCGAGAACGTCGCCCACAAAATCGGCACCACTCCTTAGGGCGATGTTTCCAAGAGCTTTCGCTCCGCTTTTGACCATGGGCATCACTGTTCTTGCCACGCTGCGAAACAGACTCCCCAGGCCGTACCCTGTCTGTTGCCCATACCCTGCTTGCCAGGGGCTGCCCCTGAACACGGGCATGCCACGCCCTTGTTGTTGATCCAAATAATAACGTACGTACGGATTATTCATCTTCCTCAAGTGAAGTATGTATGCTGTCTGAAATGTAGTGTTGTCAGCACCTTCCCCCGTTCGAATGGCACTGAATCGCCCGTGTCATTCCTTAAAAGTATTTTCACGTCTCCGAAGGATTTCGTCTGAACAGGCACGTATTGTATGTTGGTGAACGTTTTCGTAACGATGTCGCCATACTTTCCTTCGACGGGAATGCTTCGAAGTAATTGCGCACTCGTATCTCCAACGATCTGCGGTTGAACGATGTTGCAATACGTGTAGATCGTCGAAAAGATATTCAAATCGACTACGTGTGGACTTTCGCCCGTTTTGTCAATTTTTACCTCCTTTCCACCGAACCCCAGGATGAGGGACAATTTCTTAAATAAACCAATCTTACAGTTGGCTCCCAAATGGACGGTCACTTTTCCTGTTCGAGCGCTGTACGTTAAGTTTATACTGTCATTGCCTATATATTTTTTTAAAGAGGCATTCATGTTTTTGAGAAGTTCTTGTACAGTTTCATAGTGCCCGTAATCGACAAATGCCACAAGGAAAAATCCCTCGCCATTGTTTCCGGTACCGTCGTTATAATAAAAGTATAGATCGTCAGCAACATCCCGCAGAGTATACAATGTGTGGGGATAAGAAATGGAATACAGTCCGACTTCCCAATTGCCATCCAAATCAATGGGTTGAGGTAACTTTACACGATATTCGGACGTTTTGTTATCGGGAAAAACGTCCAGGGACGCATTGCTTGGAAGCGTAAGGTAAAAATGTGTTCCACTCATTATGAATCCCCGATGAGAATAACAAACAAACAACACGTTCAACGCTTTAAATCTTATTTATTTCAGAAGCGGGTACCCACGTGTTAAATTTATTGGGGTACCCTAACCATTTTACAAGATAATGTACATTATTGCCTCGTCCACGTTTCTTCAGAACTTTTTCAATTTCGTAGACGTCATCTTCCTTAATGATCTTTTGCAGCTCCTTTTCGTAAAATGTTCCTTTGAGTTCTTCACCGTCCAGATCTTTTAGCTTGTACACTGGAGGATCACGTGGTATTTGTTTGCTTATTGTAAAAATCTCTTTCGAGAAATTCGGCAAGTATCCTTTTTCAAATGTTCGTTTCATCTTGCTAATTCTCACTTGATCACCGACCTTGAATTTGTACTTTACATTTTTCACAACGTTATGATCATCATACAGGGTGTGCCACACTTCTCGTTTTCAGCAGTAACGTCCACAGGTTTTGTCTTGATGCTACGGTGAACACTATGATTGTACAAATAGATCAGATCAGGTAAGATGTCTACGTAACGCATGGTTTTCTTGGCTGTAAAATAACGCCACATTTTGGTTTTTAGAGTACGAATCAGACGTTCCACGATAGAAGCTTTCGTTTCATTGTACGTATTGTACAGTTCGATGTCTTCTTCTTTCATCAACGCTCGTTCATTCAATGCAGACATGACTTGGAGAAACACCGTCACTCACTGGCTCTCGGACAAAATTATTACGCAAGAGGGAAATTTGGGAACTCTGGATTTGATGAAACTTTTGATAGAAAAGAATATCATACCAGCAACGCTTATAGACAATCCGACGTTGCACGCCATCATATTGACGCAAATCATACTGGAAACACTAACGGGTATAACGGTACCTCGGGCTCCCCAGGGGAACACCTTTACCTACCATATGAACGCGAAAGAAATGTTGATGTGGGACATGGCTAGAAAAAACGAAAAGCAGATCGAGGCATTGGAAAAAGAAACGGGGGTGAATTTGGATCATTATCACAAACTGAACATCAGAAATTAGCGTTGAGATCAAACGATCTCGTAAAAATATTTATTTCAACTGTTATTAGTACCCATAAGGTGATGTTTTGTAATCATCTACAATAAAGCGTTTATCATAAACTATTCTGTAGTCTTTTCTCATGCGTTTGGTTTCAATGTTTTTGGTCCTCGTGTTCCGCGTTATCTTTAACGGTATGTCCACGGTAACTTGCCCCGTAACATTACATTTGGCATGAAGATACACGAGCGAACGAATGACATCAAAATTAACTTTTTGCATGGCGGTACAATTTAAGGTAATCCCCGTATCTTCGTCTCGACCTTGTTGGTACTAGTCTTGTAACAGTAATTCTTCGGTCCGCCCGAGATGAAGGTAGTAATATGTCCTTCTTTTAATTCGTCGGTCAACTGGCCTAGGTAAGGACCTAGCGGTGGTTCTGGTTCGTCGGGTTTACTAACAAATATCACAGAGTCCGTGTCGTAATATAACACTCGCTCCTGAAGTTGATCCAACACCCCATAGAGTTTGAGACGGGCATAAGCGGTGGTAAAAGCAGCGATGACTACGTTCGTTTTGGCGTTGGGTTCGACGAAGTTCTCGTTGTACTCGTAACGAAGCTCGACCATTTCGTCGCTTACGAATCTCACGTCGAGAACATTGATTTCATCCGACGATAGATAGTCGAAATACACTTGGGGATCTTTAATCAATTCTACTTTGGCCATATTGGACCGTTGCGCGAACTTTCCTAAGGGAAAAAATCTATTGTAAGTGCCTGTAAAAGATAAGTTTACCTAGCCGTCCTTGCGAGAACATTACCGTTTAAAAAATACATACCCCAAAACGAATTCAACATCAGTTTGGACAGTGCACGCATCCCAGGATTGTGTTCGATCTTTTCTCGGTCTAGCTGTATACCTTCGACTGCCAAGTATTCGTCGACGTACTGCTGTTTCTGTTCCTCAGTGACACAATTCTTGGGATAACCACTGGATTCTTGCTTGATTTTGAGGAAAGTGTCCACATAATCCTTGAACAGCGCGTCGGAGGTTTCGGGAAAATGCCACACTTCGTGCATTTGGAGGATATGGTAACCTTTCTCCAGGGCTTTCTCTAGTTCCACGCTGCACCGGGTTCCCTGGATAGCTCTTTCACGCTCGGAATGAGTACAAGGGGCTTGGTTACACGTATCAGCACAGGCTTTGCACAGAGGAAACATCAGTTTGCCCTGGGTTCGATAGGGAAGGACTGGATGGAAAAGTCCACGAGGTGGTAATACCGTGCACTTGATCAAGCCAAAGTACGTGGTAATATCATCAAAGTTTTCAGTGATGATACGAGGCCGACCAATGACCGTTTTGGTCATCTTGTTACACCAGGGATAGAGACTGGTGAAGTCGACGTACCTGAACGAAAAATGGACATTAGACTCCCGTTCCTAGATCTACTGGGGTGCACTAACAACATACCTTATCTTCTCATCTTCCTTGCATTCGTGGAAGAGTTTCGTTGCGTTGGTTCGACCACCATAGAAAGCATGTCGTGGTTCCAAAGGATCCACCACATCGTAATCCTCGAAGTACTGTTTCATGTCTTCATCGTGTTCCAATTCTTTCTTCATGTCGCACTCCCACATTTCGACAACATGGAGGCCACGATCTTTAAGGTACTGGGTCTTTTCCATGGTGGCTTGATGGAGATCATGCATGGTCTTTTCGCTGACCTTGTTGACGGTGTCTCGTGCATAACATTTCAAACACCCTGTAAAAAAAAAAAATTTCGTTAAAGTACTGTACCTATGTAAAAAACTGACCCTCTGGAAAACTTACCGTGCCAGAAACAGCCATGGAATTCATATGCTGTATGTGTTTCCTCATCATAGCCATCCAAGGAATATTGACCAACAGTCTTCTCTCCACCATTCCGTTTATGTCGAATGTACACGTCATTCTTCTCGGCTGTGTAAGATAACCATTTCAAGGCGATGTTGGATTGCTTGATTCCTGGATGATAGCCGTGTGGAGGCAAAATGGCGATGGTGTTTTCTTTAAGGAAATTCGTCCGAAACACGAGATTGCACGCTGACGCAATGGTTAGACATTTCTGGAACGGGTCAATGTCGGTGACGTCACGGAACAACACATATCCAATATTACGATACGCAACGAATGGTAAAAATGTTTTAACCACCGGTAAATACGAATACCGATTCGTCACCTGCAGTGCCAAAAGAAACATGATCTCATTATTAGGATATTCACCGACGGTATATGCCGCGGTCAGTAGGATTCACAATCTGTCATCTGCAGTGTCAAAAGAATGATGAAGAGATGAAACTTAATCTTATTTTAATTCACGAGTACAGGCTTACTATAACGCCTGGATATGACTTCATGAGTTTGCTTCGTTTTTAAGAAACGCTCTTTTGACTCTTTATATAAACGCACTGACATTTAAAACACCAGACCGTGCATTTAAATATTATATGTCTACATGAGTTTGCTTCGTTTTTAAGAAACATGGTTTATATATACGCATTGATATTTAAAACACCGCAGTCCATGCATTTAAATATGATATGTCTTCATGAGTTTGCTTCGTTTTTAAGAAACGCGGTTTATATAAACGCATTGATATTTTAAACACCAGTCCGTGCATTTAAATATGATATGTCTTCATGAGTTTGCTTCGTTTTTAAGAAACACGCTTAGTTTGCTTTATATAAACGCGCACTAACATTTAAAACACCAGACTGTGCATTTAAATATTATCATGTCTACATGAGTTTGCTTCGTTTTTAAGAAACATGGTTTGTATATACGCATTGATATTTAAAACACCGCAGTCCATGCATTTAAATATGATATGTCTTCATGAGTTTGCTTCGTTTTTAAGAAACGCGGTTTATATAAACGCATTGATATTTTAAACACCAGTCCGTTAAATATGCATGATATGTCTTCATGAGTTTGCTTCGTTTTTAAGAAACACGCTTAGTTATATAAACACATTGATATTTAAAACACCAGTCCGTGCATTTAAATATGATATGTCTTCATGAGTTTGCTTCATTTTTAAGAAAGACGGTTTATATATACGCATTGATACTTAAAACACCATGAGTCCGTGCATTTAATAAATAGCCTATGATATGTTTTTATGAGTTTGCTTCGTTTTTAAGAAACACGCTTAGTTATATTAAACGCATTGATATTTAAAACACTAGTCCGTGCATTTAACAACATGTAGTATTTTTAAGCTATACTGCAGTATTTTTAAGGAACAAAAATTTTGTTTATATTTACACATGCGTTTTTTTGCATACTTTGCAAACTGCAGGCGACATAACACATCTTATTATACATCACAAACTCTTTCATGCGTCTTGTTTGTATTACGTCAGTTGTATTACAGTTGTAAACCCTGGCTATGCGCTACTGACGTCATTCACTTCCTATCTAACATACTGTGACCATCAACTGACAGCAAATTGCTTAACTATCATATATCAGTCATTGCTTTTCACTGCGAAACGTTCTCCTGCAGTCATAAGCCGTGAGCTAGTGCCCTCAAACGTTTAGTTTCACTGTATACCTCGCTAAGCTAAAAATACTTATATATTTTTAAGATTTAAATCTTAAAATCGAATCCAATTCTAAAAGGTTCTTGTTGATAAACCCTGCAGTTTTTTTTGTAAATTGCGATAATGTTAAAATTTACGAGTTTCGCAATAACATTTTTACTATATGCCACACCTCAAAATGCGTACTTTCGGAAGCATTCACTCGCGCGCCATAGTGAAAATTATACAGGATAGGTCACTTCCGCCTAATCTTGAGATATGTGCATTCTTTCAAGATTATGAACTTTTAAAGTGTAGACAATTTCATCTTTTAATATGGCGTGTAATGAAGAACAAATTAAAGAAACTTCAAGTTTATAGTATCAAAAATATTTTTAGATGGTAAACCAAAAACTATCAAATACTAATAAATAACATTTAAACACACTAGTTTTCTTTTCGTGTAAAACTACACAATCACCACAATCCACTGCCTCGTCATGAATGTTATTGACATTGTCAATTTATCTTCATCCATATCTCATGTTCTCACAATTGCTGCGTTGGTTCAGTGCATTTCAAATTTTTGCTTTAAAACACGAGCATCTTTTTGTTTGAGAAGCCTTTTTCCATTCGCAGCCAACAAATTTTATAAAGATGCTGTCGTCTGTCTGGTACAGGGGTGGAAAAAGTATCAAAAACCAATAGAAAGGATGTTACCTGTTCTGTAGGAATGAGCTAAGAAATGCATCAATTTTCACTGATAGTGTGATAGTATATAAATGTATAGATTAGAGAGTTACTGTATATGAGGTGTAATATCCGCCAAAATTCATATACTCAATTATGCCATTGGAAATTGCATTTATGAAGTTCAGTTATGCTATTATGATATTCGATATTAGGGACCGGTCATTATTTATGGCAGGGGTGGGGGCCGAAGAGAAAGTATAATGAAGCCGGAAAAAATCATTACCCCACCTTTTTCGAAACAAAATTTCTAGCTACCCCACCGGTGGAATGCCAGAAAATCTTTTTACCCCACCCAAACCTATTTT